ATATACTGTGGGCATATATATTGTGGGCATCGATATCATAATATATGTATATGCATGTGCAAGAGCCCAAAAAAGGAACATAATGAACTTATCAGAGTGACGTATGGTCGTTGCAAATCCGATTAATGTTATGGACATCCATACCATCAATATGAATCTCAATAGGATTCAAGGATCATATATACATACTTAGAATAATATTATAAGGAAAGAAACAACATGGACAGTCTTAGTTGCTAGGAGTAGATCCGTTATGAAATAGCGTATATCGTTTACATTCGTTTCACTTTAGATCATGCCAAAAAGAAGAAATTGTCGTAGCATACCTTGGCCGTTTACTTAACGACTCAACATACTCTGCCTGTAGTCATTCAATCTACAATATTAACAATGGGGCTAAGGTTAAACCAATACTTAAAACACACTACTTGGCTAGTAGCTCATTTCTAGAAAATTGGGTAGCACTTACCCTATATCTTTCACTTCCTTCCAATTCAATCCAACATCAACAAGAACAACATCAACAACAACAAGAACAACATCAACAACATATCTGAGCTACTACATCAAGAACCAGCCCAAACCTAGCACAAAAAAACTTCCAAACAGTCCAATATGCACTGGCACCTCAACAACTTTCAACCATTGTTTCGCAAGTTTCTGTATCATACGAGCTACTGAGGGCAGTGTTGTGAAAACCGGGACTTCCTCGCTTAAAGCGAGAAGCGAAGCGAGGCGACCAGTTGAACGTTTCTGTTAGCTGAAGTGTAGCTGGTATTCAAAAGCGCACGCTTCCCAATAAAAAGCGAGAAGCGACGATGCGAAGTGAAGCGTAAGAAGCGAGCGCTTCTCTGTATTACAGGTCTGCCAACCTATTTAATTAAAAAAGCCTCTCTTTTTCTAAAACATCATCGACCAACGTCCAACAACGATTGTCCAGGTATGTGATTTCCTCCTCTTCCTCCCTACTCCTTTTTTCTTCTTCTTCTTCTTCTTCTTCTTCTTCTTCTTCTTCTTTTTCTTTTTCTAGAAGAATACGATGCTCATTTTGTGCTTTAATGATGCTACTCTTTAGTTTTTACATTGAAGTATTGAACATTTGCTTACAGTTACATGTGTTGTCTATGCAATATTTATTTTAATTTTTTTTAAATTCCTCTTCACTTTAAAAAAGCGAGCGCTTCTCTTCTCGCTTCTCGCTTTAAGCGAAAAGGGCTTGTCGCTTTTCCTCGCTTCACGCTCTTCACAACACTGACTGAGGGATTAAATTCGTCCAAGCCTAAGTAGAAGAGGATAAAACTTACCTTATAACATAATATCAGCCTTAAACTTGAGCTTACTTCACAGCGAAGAAACCTTTAAATCTTCAATAGCAAGGAAGGACTTGGTTCCACTACTTCCGCAAGATTTCCGACGTTTGTTTTGTGTTGTTTCCCTTTGTTTTTGCTCTAGAACCATGTGAGAGCTATAATCTTACCTTAAACAAAAATAATCAGTCCAAATCCGAAGTTACTTCACTTGGAAGAATCCTCCTAAACAGCCACAAGATGAAGAACTACGATCTAGCAAGCACCACGAGATTTCTAGCATTGGATTCACGTTTTTATCGTTGGATTTCACTCTTGAATCACGGAGACTACTTTGAGAGTATTTTGGGAGAGTATTGGGTCTGGTTGGGTCGAAAAATGAACACAAATGAGCCTTGCCCCGATCTTTAAAAGTTGGAGAATCATCCGCCGCCTAAGTGGGTCCGATAGGAAGCTCCTTGTGCAGTCTCGTGAAAACACGAATATCTCTCTACTGCGATGTCGTATCGACGAACGGTTTAATGAGTTAGGAAAATAGACTCGTAAACCTTCAATTTGGTGGGTTGATCATCCCATATATCTAAGTATATTGAGAGAAAAACTTAGTGACATTAAACCCAAATTTCAATAGGATTATAAACGTATCTTGCGGTAACTTTTGTCCACTTTTGTTTTACAACTTGATTGACTTCAAAACTTAATAAACGAATATTATATGATTCAAGTACTTTAAAACACGCCCTCCTTATCATGTTAAGAACTCCTAGTTTTACCCCGAAAGTACGGGTTATAACATCTTTGATTTGTTTAGTCTCCAACCCTCACGATACTTCCGTAACACCTGTTAACTCATCATTATCTTTGTAAAGGTCCTTAAACTCTCCGGCTTATATTGATTCACTTAAGACACATTCCAACATGAAAGTACAGGGTGTAACATAAATTTAAGAATTTTCTTTTCAGAAAAAACTTGGAAGAAGAAAAGGACCCTCACGATATTCCCGTAACACCTGTTAACTCATCATTATCTTTGTAAAGGTCCTTAAACTCTCCGGCTTATATTGATTCACTTAAGACATATTCCAACATGAAAGTACAGGGTGTAACATAAATTTAAGAATTTTCTTTTCAGAAAAAACTTGGAAGAAGAAAAGGACCCTCACGATATTCCCGTAACACCTGTTAACTCATCATTATCTTTGTAAAGGTCCTTAAACTCTCCGGCTTATATTGATTCACTTAAGACA